AAGGAAAAATAGAACATTGAAAGAGATGATGAACTCCATGTTAATTAGTTCTAATGCTCCTGATAACTTCTGGGGTGAAGCTATTTTATCTGCATGTCACTTACAAAATAGAATACCACATAGAAGAACTGGCAAAACTCCGTATGAATTGTGGAAGGGTTATAAACCTAACTTGAAATATTTAAAAGTGTGAGGGTGCCTTGCTAAAGTTCTTTTGCCAGAACCTAAAAAGAGAAAAATAGGTTCTAAAACTGCTGATTGCATGCTAATTGGATATGGTGAACATAGTGTTGCATATAGATTTCTTGTTTTAAAAAGTGATGTGCTTGATTGCAATACTATAATTGAGACAACGAATGCTGAGTTCATTGAATATATTTATCCATTATCTGATAAAATTTCTCATACACCTGTTGAAACAAATAATGAAATTACCTCTAATGAGGAACTGAGAAAGAGCAAAAGGCCTAGGAAAGAATATTTTTCTTACGGAAATGATTTTCAAACTTTTCTTGTCGATAATGAACCATCAAATTATTTTGAAGCTATATCTTCTTCAGATACTAAATATTGGAAAGAGGCAATAAAGTTGAAATTGATTTCATTATGAAAAATAATACATGGATATTAACTGATTTACCTCCTGGTGCAAAACCTATTGGTTGTAAATGGTTTTCCAAAATTTAATCCTGATGGATCTTTAGATAAATATAAAGCTTGGTTAGTAGCAAAAGGTTTTTCTCAAAAACAAAATATAGATTATTTTGATATATTTGCACCAGTGACTAGAATTTCTTCTATTCGAATTTTAATTGCCTTAGCTTCAATCCGTAAGCTTTTTATCCACCAAATGGATGTGAAAACTGCTTTTCTAAATGGTGATTTAGAAGAAGAGATTTATATGGTTCAAGCTGAAGGTTGTGTCATTCCTGGACAAGAAAATAAAGTTTGTAAATTAATTAAATCTCTTTATGGCCTTAAGCAAGCTCCTAAGCAGTGGTATGAGAAATTTGAACAAGTCTTACCGAGAGACGGTTTTTTTTCAGTTGAGGTGGATAAATGTGTTTATTCTAAAGTGGTAGACAATGAATATGTGATTATATGTCTGTATCTTGATGACATGCTTATAATTGGTACAAATTTTAATGTGCAAAGTACTAAATTATTTTTGTCTTTTAATTTTGATATGAAAGATTTGGGTGAAGTAAATATGATATTGGGAGTTAAAGCTATAAGGAGTGAAGATGGCATAATGTTGTCACAAGAATATTATGTTGAGAGACTTCTTAAGAAGTTTGAATATTTTAATGTCACATCTGTGAGCACCCCTTTTGATGCTAACTCTCAGTTGAAAAAAAAATAATGGTGACCCAGTTGCTCAGTCTAAATATGCTCAGATTATTGGGAGTCTGATGCATTTAATGAATTTTACAAGGCCTTATATAGCCTATGTTGTATGTAGACTGAGTAGATATACTCATAATCCCAACATAGAGCATTGGTCTGCATTAGCTAGACTAATGAAATATTTGAGAGGAACCATGAATTATGGTATCCTATATAGTGGATTTCCTTCTAGTTTAGAAGGGTACAGTGATGCAAACTGAATCTCTAATTCAGATGAGACAAAATCCACTAGTGGTTATGTATTCACCCTTGGTGGTGGTGCAATATCGTGGAAATCAGCTAAACAGACGATCATTGCTAGATCGACTGGAATCACAGTTTGTAGCTCTGGAGTTAGCTGGTTCTGAGGCTGAGTGGCTAAGAAACTTCTTAGCTAATATCCCTTTAATAAAGGACGTATTGCCTCCTGTGTCTATACATTGTGATTGCCAAGCGGCAATAGCTATAGCAAAGAATAAATCTTATAATTGTAAAAGTAGACACATGAAACTGAGACATAATGTCATAAAGCAGCTGCTGAGAGATGGAATAATTTCCATTGATTATGTGAAGTCAGAAATTAATTTGGCCGATCCTCTGACTAAACCTGTAGGAAGAAAAATAATTCTTCAAACCTCAAAAGAGATGGGGTTAAGGCCGACATATTGTCAATAGAGATGGTAACCCAACCTATGTGATTGGAGATCCCATGAAGTAGGTTCATATGGGTAATAACAAGTCAATATTGGCATTGATGCACTAAAAAAGAGAGTGCTTGACTGCTACTAATTGAGAGGCTGAGTTATAACTCTTAATGAAATTCATAGTCCTTATGGATGGTGTATTTAAAAGAAGTATACACTTGATGAATTCACCTATATGAGAGTGGAGTGGGCCGCTCCTATGAGATTTTGGCCTAGTCTCTAGAGCTCTCGTGAATAAACCAGGCACGCGCATGGCCTATTGGGCTCAAAACCGCGTTGAACAGCAAAATTATCGGGGGTCAAAATGTGATTGATAAAATCTCTGACTTACAATAAGAATTATTGGTTCATAGAAATATTATATTTCACCATTAATTCTTTGAGTTAAATTTTATTGGTCTAAGTTTGGTTCATAGTCCAGAAGACACCAAACCTATTACATTTGGACCACGCAAATCCAGCAAGTCTATTTCAAAAAGTCTTTAAAATAGTGGGGGACTGCGGCAATATTTTAAACATTTGTTGACAAATGTCTTGAAGAAGACCATGTGGAAGCCTTCAAGAAGAGATAAATGGCAAGATGCATGCAAGAGAATTGACAAATGGCAAGAAACTTGACAAATGGCAAGAAAAGCCTTAAACTTTTTTGCCTATAAAATGGTCTTCCCTTAAGCCAATTTCAATCATCAGACATCCTTCTCATACGTCTCTCTCTTCTTCCTTCCAATTCCTTTTCTATAATATTTAATTAACATTACACATTAGCTGGTCTTCCTTTTTTCCTACTAGCTGGATTTGTATAATATTTAATTTTGTTGATTCCTGTATCCTCCCTAATAGAGGTAGGCTTGTTTAATCCTGGGAAAACATTTCACATTGCTGAAATAATTTCTTAGGACAGTGCCTAGCACGACTCAAGTCAGTCCGTGTATCCGTTCACAAATAATATTATTGTAGTATTATAATCGTTATTTTCGGTGTCATTTCCCTACATTCTCTCCTCCCCTCAATTTTCCTATTCTCTGTTGCCTCTCTCCACTCAAAATTCCCGTAATTGAGAACCAAAATTCGTGGGCAATGAATCCACGCTTCATATGAAGATAATTCAGAACTTTAAAAGCAATATACTTTCTTGCCAAGTACGCATCTGAAATTCTGAATGTTGCGTTGTTTCCATAGTTGGCATATCAACTATTCGTTTTGTTTCTTACTGTAACTGTGTCCTGATAGTATAAGTTACTTAGTTGGAGGAACCTAAACTGGATGTGGCGTCCTGACTCCATGTAATCATCTTCAATCATCATTCCTCTCCAATTTGAAGAGCATTCTACATGCAACATATCAGTAAAGTTGTTGGAGGCTATATTTATGATCTGGAGATTTTGCCAGCTATTTCCTGTTGGATCACACTCAAGACTTTGAGTGAATAGATTGGAACGCAAGACTAAACTCTCAGACTGTATGAGTCACTCAACATGCACGGGAAACTATCAACAAGTCTGTTATTTCCAACATCAGGACCTCCAACAACTCGCAGCTGGCCAGGGACTTCGGCAGCTTCCCTTCTAAGCTATTCCTACTGAGCTCTAAAGTTTTTAGAGCACAACGAATTGGAACAGAGAGATGATAAATTTGTATGGTACAACTACATACAAATTAAAAAATAAATTTCGTAAAAATTTAATACAAATTTGATACATCTACAACATCATATAAACTAAAAATAAATTTTATATAACTAATTATATAATATACAACTTATTTATAACTTATCAATAACTTTCGTACATACTAAAAATAAATTTCATACAACTAACTATACAGTATACACTTATTTATAACTAATCTACAACTTATCTTCAACTTTCATACATTATTTCTACCCAGTTAAATACAACTACAATATCATACAACTTAAATATAATTTTTATACAATATGTCTTTTGTATATTTTTTATCTGATTTGTATATATTTTGTGTGTGGTGTGTGCTTCTTCCTCTCTAAAATTCCAATCAGAACTTACTCTCTTTATATAATTTTGATACATATCAACAACTTTATGTAAAAAGATAGTATTAATAACTTAAATACAAATTTTATACAACGACAAATACATTGTACAACTATTTGTCAACTTTTATACAACATTCAAATTAAAAAAGAATGTGTATATATATATATATATATATATATATATATATATATATATATATATATATATATATATATATATATATATATATATATATATATATAACTACAAGAGAATACAATTTACATACAATTATACTACAACTTTACTACAATTTCGTAAGTATATTCTATGTCATGTGTTCTTCTTCTTCGAGTTTCAATATGAAATCAAGTCTAATCTTTACCAAAATACCCTCAAAAATTAAGATATAAACTCCAAACAATATTCCCAATTGTTTGCAACAATACCCAATCCAAACAAATAATGATTTTTGAAATCCCAAATTCGATTCAAAGCTTTAAAGCTTTTTAATGGCTATCAGTGGTGGAGAGTCAAACACCTTCAACATTTATTGATTGACAATTTCAATTTGAACTCCAATTGTGCAACATGAAAGGAAATTGCTAAGTTAAAATAATTGAAATCCATTGATAAATTTCATTAAAACTATATACAACAAGAAAACATACAAAAACAGAGAACACCAAATAAATAAAAAAATTGGGGAAAAAAATAAAGAAGGAAAGTAAAGAGACGAAGAGAGAGAGAGCGGGCAAGTATAAAGGTATAAAGAAATAACTTATATTCCTTATTCAATTCCTTATTAAAGGGGTACTCATTTAAAACTTATTTGTATATAATTAATAAATTGTATATGACCTATGTAGGGAGGATAATAAGGTTTCAAATAGTGTATAGAAAGGTAAAAATCCCAATCTAAAACAATCTTTTGGAATTGCTGTAGGAAACTAAAGCAGCCGAACCAAGCAGCCCAGCAACAAATTTACAGAAAAAAACAGTGGGTACAATTGTTGGAGTCCAGCGTCACGACAACCACAAGCTGCTAGCCCATCACAAGAAGCTTCCGTTGAACCCGTACAGACTAGACTCTAGAGCCAAGCCTGGAAGGAATAATTAAGGAACTCTGAATGTGGAGCCTACAAACTCGATCCTGGCACACATTTACATGGCATGCTACACAATTATTAATAAGTTCTAAATTTCATATTCCTGAGTTGTAGATAATAATAATCTAAACTGAGGCAATCTTTCGGGCTTCACTTAACCTTACATCAAACAGAGTTGCCTACATATCCATTGAAGATTTGTTTCCTTGGTTTCCTTTTTCAATCAAACCAAAGAAGAAGTATCAAGGTGTTGAAAAAATTACAAGATTCAAATAAGAAAGATAAATCTGGAATAAAAGGAGCTTTTACAATAAGAGAACGAAAATTCACAAGTAAATCTCCATCCGTTGATGCAACAAAGTGGAAGGTTATTGTTAAGTATATGAACTGCATATCATGATCTCTAGAGTCGAGATTGGGGGATTGAAGGTCAATAATGCTTTGGCATGACAAGATTCAACGGGCATTCCAGATGGGAGATATCAAATAACCTTCCCCACACGTACATTTGAATCCATGATACCTGAAAATATCAACCAAGTTTGGTCATACTAATTATTCTCATAATCTTCCATAATTCACAGTAAAAAGCAACTTCAAGACAAGAACTGAACTAAAAAGTAAAAAATCTAACAACTTAAGGGGATTAGGTATGCCTCTCTTGGTGAAATGCTAAGGTACTCGGACTCAGGTGCGGATCTAGAGATTGGATTCTTCATGATCTAAATTTTAAGGTTCAGGTAGGGCTGGGCATATATCGGGTAAAACCGATAACCCAAACCGTTAATTGTTTATTGGGTTATCGGTACCGGGTTATTAGGTTAACGGTTCGATAACGATTTAAAAAAAATTTACTATTGGGTTATCAGTTGGGGCCTCGGTTTGCCAATTTTGTTAATGGGTTAACCGATAACCCAATAAGAATTAATAAAATTATGACTTTAGCCTTAAATATATACATATGCTAGGGCTTCAGTTCATTCTCTCCTATTCTTTCTCAACTGCATTCTTCAGTTGCTTACTCCTAGCGTAAGTCTTTATTCTTATACATTAGGCTTTTAATTTCTATAACAAAATTCATCTTCATATTGGTATTTTTGAATGTTAATGATTCTTTATTTTTTTATTTTCGTTTCTTAATTTTGTGAGCTCACGTTGTGCAGCCTATACCTACTACCAATTTCTCTTCGCACTTATCAATTCTCAATCGACAATCTTCGTCAGTTTCAGGTATATTTTTTAACATTATTCTTCTGTACAGTACGCTGAGCTTTGACAACAAGACAACATTTTCTTGCCTTCTAGGTGTTTTACATTTCTGTGTCAATATTGCCCATGCACAGATCAAGGTTTTGCTCCATGGTTTCTTTTTTCAAGTTAGGCATTTGACAAACAACATCCAGTTTATCTTGGACTGTTAGTACTATATGTTTGGACTTGTTAATTTTAAGATAAAATTGCTACTACTTTGTATTATTATTAATGTATTTGGACAACTGTTATTGAAGAATTAGTACTATTTCAGTTGTGGCCACTGGACAGAATGCAGAAATGGGTAGTATACTATATGTGAATTCTTCTCTTTTTTTGCTTAACTCGAGTGAATTGTCTTCTCTTTTCTGCTTAACTCTAGATTGAGTTATCTTATCGGGTAAACCGATAACCGAACCAATAATGATCGATAATCGATTAACCGATAACCGATATCTTATCGGTTCGGTTATCGGTTTATCAAATTTGTAAACCGATAACCGATATGCTAAACCGATAATATTCATAATCGAACCGAACCAACCGATGCCCACACCTAGGTTCAGCCGTAAGGATCCAGGTACGGTTACGGGTGGGGGGATTCGGCCAAAACTAATTCAAATATCTAGAAATAGAGTTATAAAGATATATTTAAATTATGAGACATTGTGTCGAAAAATTAAAAGGTATTCTAAGAAGGAAAAAATATTGATCAAGAGGGGAATCCGAGAAGGAGATAAAAGGAAAAGGACTGACACAAAAATTTCTATATGCACGGTATTTTTTTTGTTCAATTTCACCCTAACTTTTGTTTTGATTTCAAAAATCATTGTCTATGTCCTGAATTTCTCCGTCGATTTTGGTCAAAGTACCCAAAATTGGTTGACCAGATCCGGTTGGGATCCCACACCAACGTAGTGTCGACACGGGTGCGGCACTAAAAGTGAAGAGTCCGAGCAACTTAGGTGAAATGAGCTCACCCACCTTCGACCATGTAGGTGGAAGTTTCAATTTCCATTTTGTTTGCCCTTCTGCCTACCTTTCCCTTCCCCCTTATATTATAAAAAAGAAGAGAAAAAAAACTTAAATTGTACAGGAAAATTTAAGCTTTTAATTGTGATAGAAGCAAAATTATAGGGTCAGTTCTTTTACAGTTTATTTACCGATCCGATCAGCCTTCACAGAGTAAAACAAACTTGTAAAATGAAAGAAATCCAAACTTGCATTGTTATCCACATATCAACGTAGAGATCTATCATATTATTATATAAATCATCATTTGGAGAACCACATTAGCTCAGTCAGCTGTAGGTACTTTTCAAGATTCAGCAAAAAGTATTATCTGGATCCTCTCTATTCAGATTTAAACCCCTATATGTTTAGTTCATTGACAAAAAAAAAAAACAGAACGTTCATAATGTCCTTGACGAGAGTTGCAGCATCACAACTATAGATTGTTAAACAAGCTTTTTGATTAGAACTATAAATTGTTAAATAAGATTGATTCATTAGAAATGCAAGTTCCATGGCAGAAATGTTTTCAAACATTTTCGAACATTCAATAAATGGAAATATGCCACATATCTTTAAGATGCAGGTAATAATATGATTTCCTTTGTATGATGTTCCAAAATGAGTGGAATCTTCATATTATGATAATACCAACACCAATACTAGTATACAGTTCTGCCACGTAAAATGGAGGAGTACAAATAGAGATGGGAGGCATTAAGAAACTGGAAAAGCAAGCATAAGAAATTTGGAAAATAAAAAGAAGTATAGGATATAAACAACAAGCAAGATGTCTATTAAATGATTCGATCAGACTTATATTATTAAGGGAAAAAAGCTTATTTGAAAGACATTTAATTCTAAACGAAATGCTGGCAGGCAGTACAGCACTTAGACATATTTATCCCAGAGAGAGAGAGATTCTTATATCATAACAAATTTATTATGATGGTCAGCAATTAACCTTACTGGAAAAATTATCACTATATTTATTCCTTTTTCTACTACATATGGTCAGCATAAACTTACTATAAACAACTGTCTCAAAAGAATCTTTCACACAAACATCTTATCTGTTTTCCTCCTAATTTGAAACTTTGATGCAGGATTAGAGTCAAAGATAATCAAAAGCATCAGCATGTCGAAACAAACAGATTGATGAGCAGCGTGCGGACCTACACTTACCCAAGTTTACGAAATTTGGAATATCAATTACGGATTGCCCATAAATAGACCATTTAGATGAAGATTGATAAAAGCTAACAAAAGGCGTCAATCTTCTAACATGACTTAACCAGCAACCCTGAGGGGCTCGTATCTAATGATGGAGACTTTCAAACAACACAAACATCTAAGAAAGCCACTAAAAGCAAAGTGGACCATGGTGTATCAAGGAAGAGAAATTTGTGAATGAAACACAATCAGCTAAGCAAGGATGCCCAGATGAATTAAGACAAAGTATAACTAACATACTTGTCCTTTCATAAGTGCTGGAATTGTACAGAGGTTCCACCAAATTAAGTCTCTAACTTTCTGATTCCATTCTTACAGTTATTTTGCTCAATACACTTGTAAACTCCCCAAAAGAATAAAATTCAAAGAACAAAGTGATGTACGATTTCGCATCAGATCTCACTTATCTCCATGAAGGTCCTGATTTACAATGGTACTATTTATATACCGAAACATCCAAAAAATCATATTTATAAAATCCATAGAGTCTAAGGAATCTAGTAAGGCATAAACTACTATTCAATGACATAGAAATTAAATCACACTAATTAGTGCTTCACATGAAAAATTACAGACCAAACAACAAAATAAAGTATAGAAACACTGATTTTCTATTCTATTCATATCTTTTCCTTTAGTATAGGAAGGTTCAATTATTTTCTTTTAAAAATAATCTTATATTCAACTGCTTATTATCCATTACAACACTTCTATCCAAACATGTAACTGCTTATTAAATCAGTTTTAGCACTAAAAGTGTTTTCAGCATTTAATATTTTTCAGCTACTTCAAATTAGCTATGCCAAACGGGCTCTATATCTATTCCCCCTTATTCGGGCCCATTTCATTTCAAAAAGATCACGTCTAAAAAAAATCCTAAATTCCTTAATCACTAAATTTATAAACACTGAACCAAAAAGGTAAGGAAACAACACTTACCTAGAACAACATAATCATATTCTTCAACTGTCTTCGCCAAAAAGGCGGTGAAGGCGTGAAGCAAAGCGGCCAGTGGGGTCAAGAGCAGCTTCAGCAAGTAAGCTTTGCCTGATATGATTCATTCGCTGAACAAGTCCTTGTTGTTCTTCCTCCAGCGCAGCATTATCCTCCATGAGATCATGTATGCGATACTTTTGCCCGAGTGATCGAACGCTCAATAGAAGGATTCCAGTCATAGCGAAGAACTGTATGAAACTGTCCTTTCTCTTCATTGCGTTTGCAAAGAAGCTTAATGACTTGTTAGGGTTTTGGAAGCCGCCGGAAGCGGCGGAGCTTGGTGGTGGTATAGGAGAAGCCATTATTAGGGTTTCCTGGAGCTGCCGGGAATAATATCGCCGGAGGCTTGTAAATAATGCCCTTATTAGGAATTTGCAGCAGTCCGACGGGTCAACTGGTTAGTGATGAGTGAATGATAATGTCGAAAATGGCAATGTTTTTGTTGTTAAATTGGGTGCCGCATAAATGGCGTATTTGGTCCCCAAGCGTGACCTTTCGGTCACTTTAGTCCCAATGTAAACATGATGTTAAAAGAAACACCTTCTTGTTATATTTAATAAATTTTTAATTCCAACATTCTCTTTATGGTGGTCACGCATGACATGTTTACAACACAAATTGAATAACTAGCATAGTGTGTTTTAAAACATAACGGATACTAAGTGGGCGTTTGGACATAAGAATTATAAAATTTCAAAATAGGGTTAAAAGAAATTTTAAGTGAAAATGATATTTGAAATTTAGAGTTGTGTTTGGACATGAATATAATTTTGGGTTATTTTTGAAGTTTTGTGAGTGATTTGAGTGAAAATTTTGAAAAATAGTTTTTTGGAGTTTTTCAAATGTCCGAAAATTTCCAAAATACATCTTCAAGTGAAAATTGAAAATTTTATGAACAAACGCTGATTTCGGAAAAAGTAAAAAAATTTTGAAAAAAGGGAAAAATTTCTTATGTCCAAACGTGCCTATAAAAGTTTCAATCTTAATAACGTTAATGAGTAAACTACTTATGCGTATGTTTGAATAATTATTTTTGAACAATCCGTAGACACAAAACCACAAGGGATTATTTTTGTTATCTGATAATAGGTGAATTTGACTATAATCACACCTTAAATAATCATTTTCTTGTGTAGTTTTAATGCTAAAAGTGATGACAAAATGCTCTTATTAGTGCTTTTCATGATTTGTAGGTGATATATGTATAAAGAAGGCTAAGGAGCAGTTTTGGAGTCAAAAGTGATGAAAAAGAGGCCAACTGTGAAATTTCCCAAGTGACCCGTGCAAAAACAGGCCGAAGATTCAGAGAACTGGATCCACCGCGGTTCTACCGCGACCGCGGCAGAACCGCGGCAGGCGCAGTAAACTTCAGGGACCAAAGTGTCAATTACGGGATTTTTAGACCTAAACCCTATTTAAAACATTAGACTTCGCCCAAGAGAGGCATGTATTGATTTTTTAGGTTTCTTAGCAAGGAAAAACATTGTGAGAAAATACTCTAAACATCTTTCTTCTTTTCTTTTCTTTTGATTTTATGATGAATTCAATCTTAGTTTATTTTCCCATAGCCATGAGTAGCTAAATTCCTTGTCTAAGGCTTTGATGGAACCTATTGGGTGATGAACTTCTTGTTTATGTGAATACAAATTGCTAGTTTAATCTTTATTTGTTCAACTTCGTGTTCGTTGTAGTTAATTGACAGGATCCTCAATTAGCTGTGCCTATTTAGTGTGCATAACTTGGAAAAGAGTGCATATTTAGGGTATTGTTGAACAACACCACTCCTAAATTATTAGAGGAATCTATAATTGCGGGTTTAAAGGCGGGATTAGGAATAACGAAGCCTTGGGTGCAATCTAAATTGAATTGTGCTAAATAAAGCAAGCTAGTGTATCTCGGGAGAGTGCAATAGTAGATTACTGTAATTACTCGGGAGAGAGTTGCGGTAAGATTAGCGTTCATGATTGATAGAGATGTGTGGGTAAATTTGTATGAGCATAAACAGAAGGGATTCCATCAATAGGGGAAATCATTGCCTTAGCTTTTTCTCATAATTGTTTACAACCTTATTAATTTAGTTACAGCCATTAGTTACTTGCAAGCTAGTTGTTAAAGAACACTCAACTGAGAATTTGAATATTTGAGAAGCTGGTTCTGAAGACTTGGTGGGTCTGAAGATAGCGGTTGATAGGTTAACTATCTGTGGATTCGACCCTGGGCGTAATACTCGGGTTATATTTGCAACGTCCGCAGAGTCCTTTTTATAAGGCATAGTTGGGCGTGATCAAAAACCCCAAACAAAACGCCAATTTTCTGTTACAACGAAGAAGGAGAAGCCAAAGAAATTCTTAGCGAAACACCAATTCTTTCTCACAGTGAAGAAGAAGGTTGTGGAATTCTGAGCGATAGAGAAAAACAAAGAAGATGAACAGATAGAGATAGAGAGTGACCTATCTGTCATACTAAAGGACCGCTGATTTGACCAGCTGTCATATTGATCACACGCGTTAGCTTTTAGCCAAGGTTAGGAGCAATATGAAATGACCAGAATACCTTTAGCAGCAAGCACACATGACGACCTTCAGCTGCTTCTCTCGCTCTTCTATATATTAGTAATGAACGTCTATTTCTTTGTTCATAAAATTCAAGATCTTGAATGAGGTTGGAGCCATATAAAACAAGCGGGGAACAAAAGCATGCTCTTTGTACACAAACGTTGATAAACATGAGGACTCTTAACGGAGGTAGAAAATATTAATAGGTGATTTCTTCTTATCTGTTTAAATTTTAGTTGACAAAGTTATCCGATACCTATATTGATACTCGATGGGAGCTAACATATATCTTACGGAATTAGTCGTAGAACACCACGATTATTAAAAAAAAGAGTTAGAGGAATGCTCCTTCCTCAGTTAGAACCGACGTCGAAATAATTGAAGTGAGAAAAAACAGATGTGATGTTCTAAATTTTTCTCATGTTCATGTAAGCGCCAAATGGGAAATGGGGACCAGTGAAAGATGGAAATGGGCTGGTGGTCTGTATTAAGGTGGATTACATAAAACGGGCTGAAGCATCTCCATCGTCGGGCCTGGGCCCATGAAAATCATGTGATCACGCTCCATTTGTTTGTACCTTCCTTCAATCATGTGATACCTACACTTTATCCACCGACACTGTTACTTATCAAAGAGCTGTAAGACGTACACGTACTCCTTGTTCACTGCTGATTTGATTTGACAATTGTTTTCGTTAATGTCATATTTCTTTTGGAAAATACTATTTTAATTTAGGGAATTACATGCTCACCTTCATTTTTTCAATTGAATTAATCACTTTGTCCTTGAAGCATCAATATAAAGTTCCTTGAATTCTTATACATTTTGGACAACACACCTTAAAATTGATCATGCCAATCATGGAGACTGGAGAGGTCTAGCTAGAAAGATTTTGACAGTGAACAAGTTACAAATAGGTTTAAGGTGAATAGTCAAAGCTCACTCACGATCTTTATCTCCAGCACCTGAATCTATACAGAAATATAAATAAGTGTAATATAAATACGGGACAACATGTACTCAATAAGTAGTTCAGTGATTCGTTGGTTGTAACAACAACAATGACCCAGTAAAATCTCACTACTGGGATCTGGGGAGGGTAGTGTGTACGCAGCCTTACCCCTACCCCGAAGGAGTAGAGAGGTTGTTTCCGAAATACCCTCGGCTCAAGAAAACAAAAAGACAAAAGGAGACAATATTAATATCAACAAAAAAATCATATGAAAAACAGGAACAACATAAAATTCAGAAGAAAGATGCAAAGTAAAAGCGATAGCATTTAAATAGTTCCTGTGCTGAAAAGTGAAATAGTAAGACACAACATTACCACTAACTATCTTAGACAAAAACCCTACTAGACTGGTCTCGCAATGGTACAAAGAAAGGAAAGACTCAAACTACCTCATAACCTACAACCCTAATACTCGACCTCCACGTCTCCCTACCAGATTCGTTGGTCGTAAGTAACCTAATAATATAAATATTTCGTCGGGGAGTACTGAGGGATAGAGAGATTCACACAATTATTAATCCTTCCTTACCTTGATAAACCATTTTGGAGGGAATGACGTCTTTAATAGGGATATTTAAATAGCGTTCCATACGTAAAAACAAGAGTAGTTGTTGAATGAGAATGATTTTGATAACCATTTTACATGCATGACCTAATAAAACTCCCAAGTTTTATGGCTAATCGCTTTGTTAAGTCTGAACAAACTTTTTTGTTTTTCTTTCTTTGTCCAATTTGATGGTTAAACAACTAGAAAGAAGACAAAAAGAGAAAAAGGAAATGTTCAAGTCGTAAATATTTTGCTTTTCATTTCTCCATATTTTTCCCCAACACGAAAAGGAAAATAACGTAGACGTTTTTTTCTCCTTTCTTTCCTTTTGCCACTTCGCTACATTCAAACAATTACTGATCAAATAAAAATATTTATATCCTTGTAATACTGTAAGAGGTGCAAAAAGCGGCATAAATTTTTTCATTAAATAAGTAAAATTCATATGTTTGGCGAACATAACGTCCAATTAGATAACTTGCATGGATCGGAGCCAATGTTTTAAAAGGCGGGGGCGTGAGGCGAGGCGTTTTACCTCTGACGAGGCGAGGCGTAAGCCCTGAGACATGGGGCGTAAGTCCCATGGATCTTTAAATTTTACTAATTTCATGAATTTTTAAGATAGTATAAAATAAAAAATAATTATAAAAAGTACATTAAAATCACAGAATTATAACAAATAATATATTTAAAATATTAATAAATTATAATTCAACTATGAATAATACAAAAAGTATGACATATATCATAACAAATAGTTGCAATGTCGTTACAACTCAAACATCAAAAGTAATATATTCGATACGAAATCTTATATGTATCTCTTAAGGAGTAATGAATTTTGAAAGAATTTCGATATTATAATATGATATTTTTCTTAAAATACTCCTTTTATTTAATATGCTTTCTATTTGAAAGAGAATTTTTATAAAAACATAATTCACAATTTAAATATGATTCTCAAGCATCATTCATTTTTAAGTTTCAACAAGTTAATAAAGTGACACATAGTTCACCATACAATACCATGATAACTAATTATTTGTACATAGTTACTAGCTAATACTGAGCTATTAAATTAATAAGTATTGTATCTCGTAAACGTGAAAAAAAGTAATTATAAAAAAAATTATGGACTATTATATATTATATAGTAAAGACATAACAATAGTTAATAAATAAATACTTTTTTAAACGAAAGATTTATTTAAAATTAACTATCATAGTAGTCTTAGTGAATAACGTGCAATAATTTTTATTTTAATTATGACAAAACTCCCAACATAATAATTTATACTTAGGAAAAAAGTAATTTTGAGTAGTCAACGATTTATTTAGAAAAATTGAAGATTTACAAGGTTAGTTACATACAATTGCATAAAGTTCTATTAGGCGAGCCCAGTACGCTGGGCGTTGGGCGTGTCCGGGGCGTAAGCCCCGATGGCCGAGGCGTAAGTCTCACGGAACTAGCCCCACACATAAGCCCGGGGGCGTTTTATGAGTGCTCCGCCCCGAGGCGAGTCCCGGGCGAGTCCCAATTCTGCCTTTTAAAACAGAGATTGGAGCACAAAGAGCCATTTTTTTTATTTAAAAAAAGGACATCAACTATTTTTGCTAAAACTCGACCGTATAGTATCTAATAACCAGATCTACAACTACAACATTATAAATTCTGTTTCTATAAGCTGATCGTTGTGGAATTTGGAACAAAAATGTTAACACACGGATGCTCTTCCATAAATTTCATAAACATACAAAACAAAAAAGGAGTTTAAGAGCCCATTTGGCTATAAGAATTTTTTCACTTTTTTCTCAAAATCAGTGTTTGACCATAAAATTTTTAATTTTCACTTGAAGATATATTTTGGAATTTTTCGAAAATTTAAAAAACTCCAAAAAACTATTTTTCAAAATTTTCACGCAGATAACTAACAAAAATTCAAAAATAAACCAAAATTATATTCTTGTCCAACCATAACTTTAATTTTCAAATATCATTTTCACTTAATTTTTTTTTTTTACTTTTTTTGGAATTTTATAATTCTTATGTCCAAACGCCCACTAAATATCACCAACTTATGGTACAAAAAAATTCAGTTACAAGTAAATATCACACGAGACATGTATTTTTGTCTAAAAAAGGGACGAGTAATGTAAAATATGTCAAATTATACTCCATCACCTATGCATAACATGTTAAATTATTAATTATTTAAATCATCTATACGTGTAGAGTTATCTACACCGCGAAAATTTTACTGTGTGCGAAGTTTTAAACACGGAAAAAAAAGCTAAAATATAAGAAGTAAAACGAAAAAGTAGGAGAAATAAAATCCAACGGCCCAAAGGTCCCCACACGCATGCAAAAACAGCTCCATTTCTCCCTATTAAATCCATCCATTTCCAAGATCCTCTCTAACTCTTCCACATTTTTCTCTTCTTTCAACTTCAAACGTAAATATTATTGCCCCCCTTCATTTTTCCATGTTAGTTGAGTTTCAGATCATCTAATACCATTTCTGGGGGGGGGGGGGTGTACCTAGAAACTCAATTTCCATGGAATTTTCTTGAAAAAAAAAATTGACCTGTATTGAGTAAATTAAGAAGAAAACATCATGGAGGTAGCTAGAATTAGACAATTGTTGCTCCTTTGGTGTAGAATCAGATCTAACCGTGTTGCTCTTGTGGGTGGCAACCACACCGCTGCCAGGTTTTGCACTCGCTAAATTCTCCTCTCTTCCACCGTTGGCTTTTCCTCTCTCTCTCTCTCTCTGTTCTTATAGTTGTTAAGAATTTGTCACGTACAACTATAGGAGCACAAGGTACAATCAATTGTTGCAGAGTCTTGATTCCAAAACTGTAGAATTTTGGATTGTTTTGCTGTTGAACGATGGATTTGGGTCGTGGGTATTGCCCCAAAAAGGGAAAAGTAAAGGGGAATCAATTTCCTGGGGTTAAAATTGGGCTGAATCAAGATGCCCTTTTGATAATTAAGCTACCAGATTCGAGGGCTTTAAGGATTATGTCACGGTCTTTGTTCTTGGCAATGGTTCTTCTTACATTGCCCTCAATTGGGTCCATACTAAGAGGCTCAGTCGACGTAATCGACGTGAATTCTGATGATGTGAGGGACTTTAACATGTTGCATAATCTTTTTCGTGATTTGGGAGATGAAGGCCTTGTTAAAAAGGGCCAAAAAGGGCTCATTTTGAGCTCTGAGAATAATGATCATTTGGCGGAATATTTGGAGTTGTTGAATGACAATGTGGTTGATTTGCTGACTGATTCAGATATGGATAACAAGAATTTAATCCCAAATGAGGCGTTTGATTTTGCAATTGCATGCTCTAAATGGAACAGTAAGTTCATTGATCGTGTGCTCAAGATTGGTGGCATTGTGGTAACTCAATTGAGCAATGATCCTTTAGCTGAGCTTAAAGCTCTAGCTAACTATAGAATTGTGTACATACGACGATTCGACAAGACTATGATTGGTCTGAGGAAAATTGGGATAGTAAACGATGAGCTGAATTCGCGAAAAAAGAACATTCTTTGTGGAAGCACACCTGAGGATAAGAAAGTTGCATTGAAAGGATTAGAGGATGTGTTGTTTGAGCCACCAAGAAAGGCATTGGTGAAATCAATTTCAAGGAAGATGAAGTTTCTTCCTGAGTTGTTAGGGGATTCGCTTGAGAATTACCCGCGAAGAGTTTTCATTTCTGATGAGAAAAATGGAGTAGCAGAATGGTTTCAGAGGAACTACCCTGCAAATAATCAAGATTTTGAGATTTACAACTTGGATGTTGAAATCCAAGATTCAGAGGAATCAGGGAACGGGACGCCATTACTTGGGGCCGCAGAATGGTTAAGCAAAAATGTGAAGGAAGAGGACTATGTTGTGATGAAAGCAGAAGCAGAAGTGGTGGAAGAAATGATAAAGAAGAAGACAATATGTTTGGTGGATGAGTTGTTCTTGCACTGCAGAAATCAATTGGAAGATGATGATGATGATTATGAAGAGGAAAATGGAAGTCAGAGGAAGGCTTATTGGCAATGTTTGACATTGTATGGGAAGTTGATAGATGAAGGGGTTGCTGTGCACCAATGGTGGAGTTGAATCTAAGGAATGTGAGACACTTGGTTTAGCTTTGTATTTTTCTGAGTCTATTGTTATTGTTTTTCATTTCATGTATCAAGTGGTCATCAATGGCTTGGCTTTTCTTGTTTAATTTGAGCCATTGTTGTTTTATTGTATGTTTCTGTTGGCCAATGTTGGCATGAAGATTGTTGTGTGGTTTATTTAATATATTCATTTTCTCTCCTTTTTTTGATTTTGCTTAGTGATTGTAGTTGCTAGTTGGGATCTTTGGAATCTTCATGTTCCTATTGCTACGTGCAATACATCGAGCTTGTATTGGCTTTTAGTCCGTAAGAGATGAACCCAACCCAATACCTTTTTATAGGTTATGAGCCCACACCAAATTCTTCCTTTTTTTCCTTAAACGCGTGACAGGTCTGATACCGCCACATAGATAGTACTAGTTTTTAGATCCCTTATTTAGAAAAATGGCTAATACATACGGAGACACTTAAAGTTGGTACGTTTTTTTATTTAGACACTTAAACTCAAGGGTATTCTATTGAGCACTTATACTATCCGAAACTTATTCCAATTAAGCACTTCTTGCTGAGTTGGCACATAAAGTGAGTTTCACCCAATATAGGCGCGTGAAGACCCTAAAAATAGATTTTTTATTTTTTTTTCTTTTTTATTTCCTTCTTCTTCTCCCTCAAAAACAAAACAGATCTGAGGCAGTCCCCATCTCTTCACTGCTGGAATCCGGCGAGAGAAACCGGCGGCCTCATCCTCTCCAAAAAACCAACGAGCCCCCTCTCTTTTTTTATATACATATTTCTGACGAAAAGCAAGACCATTGGAATACCTACATTACAATGCATAATATGCTCTGGTCTGCAACCAGTACCCCCTGTTGTTCGTTCCGATTTGGGGAAGTAGTTTGGCTTTGCTCGTCTTAGTTCAAAGTTTGGCCCGCTATTAATGCTAATTTCAGCTGCACTACTTTTTGTGAATGATTTGCTATTAATGCTAATTTCAGCTGCACTACTTTTTGTGAATGATTTTCTTTTGATGTTTGCTCAAGATTTGGGGTTCTTCTTCAACCCTAAGAAATCAGTTGCACCCCATCTCATCTCAAGCCATTAATGGGGTCTTTGAAAAGCTTGAAGGTTTAAAATGGGTTACTTAATTTGATGAAAGTTTGAGAAACTAATATTGGGGTTGTCTTTGGGTCATTGTGGGGAATCTTTAGCTGAAGTTATAACAAATTTGGAGGAGTTTCTGTAAAAATTTGGATTAAAACCGTGCTTGGAACAAGAACACACATGAAAATAGTGTAGAACACACATGAACATATAGTGAAGATGCTAAGTTAAGTAGTGTTTTTAGGTTTTTTCCTTTTTTTTTTTACTCAAAATAATATATGTCCTTTTTTTTTCGTCATTCGCCAAGTCAGCAGCGAGTGCATTGCACAAACTTTGTAAGTTTGGCTGATTGTCAAAGAAGTGCTTAATTGGAATAAGTTTCGGATAGTATAAGTGCTCAATAGGAACACCCTTGAGTTTAAATGTCTAAATGAAAAATGATGCCAACTTTAAGTGTCTCCGTATATATTCGGCCTAAAAAAATAGTCGAAAATTACAAAGTTCTTAAAGTTTAGCAGTTTTAGAATCAACTCATACCCATAGTGTGAAATAAATCACCCTTTTATGTAGAGGAAAAAAACTATTGTTTCTCAGTCTCCCTCTGCATCCTTTCTGTTTCTTTGTAATAACTCCAACCTCACCATGACCTTTATGTTATAATCACGTCTTTTTCTAAAGGACCTGTAAATTTTAGATGTACTTATTGTTTAATAGAAAATAAGAATTTCGGTCAAAACTTATTTTAGAAGTACTCGGGCTACTGATAATCAAATAAAAGAATATTTTAGCAATGAAATAGGAACAAAATAAATGGTAAGGCAATCCGTTTAAAGCAAAGTAAATAAGTATATTCCAATAATAATCAGAACGTGTCCCTACAAATGTCATTTCTCCCTCTTTTATAGCTATTTCTAAGTACAACGTCTCTTCCTTCTCATAATCGAGTCATAATGAGCAATTAATGATATTAATGAAATATTATATTTGGCAATTGTAACTGTTTCATGAAGATTCTGTAACGTTTCTAATCATTCATACTCATTAATTGAAGGTTAATGAATCTGTACTTTTTGCTGTCTTGATTCATCCCATTGATATCTATTTGAATTGTAAAGAGACCTGAGCAACCGTTTATTCTTGTCTCTTAACGCCTTGCTCGTACCTATTGAGACTCGCGTCTCTTTAAGTATTCTTCTCCAGCTGTCGCTTCTCTACTGATCCACGTGTCTTGCTACGTCAGCCACATAAAATATTACAAGTGTAATATTTATTTTTCCCGATACAGATAGTCCTCCCACTTGCCAATTATTCAGCAATTGAATATTTGGGAAGTGGATCTCATTAAAGTGGGAATATTTGCCGTTGTTTCCCACATATCATTATACCCTCTTCTGAACCGACGCATCGTATGTCACTTCCATTTAATGCATGTGACACATGGTGTCCTACGATTGGTTCTGCAACTCCTCAGCGCCTTTTAAGGCTTTTTTACGGTTGCATCAATTACGAAGTGACAGTTTTCATAATGACGTTTCTATCATTACCTTTTTGTTTGACGGTTGCCTCGGAGTATAAATATGTCCTTCGTCTTTTCTTTTACGAAAAATTTTCCACATCTTGCCATTCAATACTTTCTACTTCTTCGTTCAACTATGTCTTCTCCAAATCCTGATCCTCGAAAGATCCTTATAGTAAATGAACTTCCACTTGCTCCTACCAGAAGCAGGAGAGGTGGTAGGCTGCGTAGTTTAGGGTCAATTTCCATACGAGGTTCTTCTTCTCAACCTAGTTCTACTCCTCCATCGTCTTCTAGAACTAGGGCTTCTTTTTTACATAGGTCTTCTGCTAGAAATAGGGATTCCAGCGAGCCAATTCGCGAACCTACAGTAGACGAGATTATCCCTGCTGAACTTTCTTTTTATTCTGATAGAGAGTCGATCAGAAATAAAGTCTCCTCTATGTCCTCTCATGATCGTGTCAATGTTTATCCTTCACAGATTACTGAGGGTTTGATTTCTGCTGTTCGTAGAGATTGTCATTGGAAATTTGATTTCCAAATTCTGATCCCCAATAAAAATCAAAGGATCACTTCTTTTAAAGCTGGTTTTTCTTTTGCGTATACGTATCCCTTCACATTAGAATTTAGACCTCCTATTGACCCAGTCATTATTGAATTTTGCCACTTCTTCAATGTGTGTCTAGGATAGATTGGCCCTATTGTATGGAGGGTTGTAGCATGTCTAAGGTATTTGGCTAACTTGGCTCAATTGCCTTTCACCTTTTATCATCTAATCCATCTCTACTCTCCTAAATTATTCCTTCATGGGATTTTTACTCTCGTGGCGAGGAGTAAGAGAGTTTTAGTCAGCACTGAAGACGATAAAGATCGTGGCTGGTACGCCCGATTTGTTGTTGCTCCCACGAGTGGGTTAGTGGGTGAAGAAAATATGTCCTTCCTTGAGAAGTGGAACTTTGCACGTAAGTTTTCTTTATAACTTTTATTTTTTTTCCTTTTGTAGAGCCTGTACTTCCCGTAACTATTTTACTTTTCCTTTTCAGCAACCATGGGAACTATTGAGGAGATTCCCGATTTCCGTGGTTGGGTAGAAAAATTGTTAACAATTGCTCCTATGAAAGTTAGGTCTTGGAAGTATCTTTCACATAGATTTGGTTGGAAGGTTAAGACTCACGGTAACTTTTTCTTTCACTTTCCCTTTTTTCTTCGTTATTACCTTAGAACTTGTTAACCCTTTTTTTATCAGGATTTCCCATTCGAGGTGTGAGTGCTGAGTCAATCACGGCTTCAAGGCTCTCTCTAGCAAGAGCCCAGGAGATAATCTTGAGTTCTTTATCGAAAAGAAAGGCTGATAGACTACAGGATTCTGAAGATGAAGAGGAGCGGGACGGAAGCTCATTAGTTCGTAAGCCGCGGGCTAGAAGACGTGTCATTTCGGATGACGAAGCTACTCCTCCTCCTCGTCCTATTCCTGTGATCGAGCCTGTAGAAGCTACTTTAGTGAGTTCTGATGAAGAGACGCCTGTTCCACCTCGTGACTCTACTGAACACCTCTTTTCACGTGGGTTTGACGATGAAAACCTTGACTTGGTTTCTGAGGAAGCACCTCTTGCATCTTTTCCTATGTCTGTTCCAATGGGAATCCCATTTTCCTGTTCCTACCATTGCTGTTCTGCTCCGCCCGAAGCTATTATGACTTCTTCGACCGTTCCTGCTGCCAATACTTCTCGTACTGAAATTGGTTCTTCAAGTGGAACCAGGGTAATGAAGCAAATTACCATTGAGGTTCCTGCTGATGGTAATCTTCTAAAGAAGTCATGCCAGGCTGACGTGTGGCTAAAACCCTTGATAGGTCCGGTTGAAAAGTCAAAACTGGAAAGTCATAGTTCTTTGACTTGGATGAACGACATTGTGCAATCATCATTGAAGGTATAAACTCCTCCTTTTTATCTTATATAATTTTCCTTTTAGGGATTTACCTCAATGCCACGGTTAGAAACAAGGAATCCCAAGAACTTACCTGACGACACTCCAAATGCACATTTCTCGGGATTTAACTTCATGTTGAATTTGCGGAGAATCTGAAACGTATCTGACAGGTGTTGAATATGATCCTCTGCTTGTTGTGATTTGACTAGCATATCATCTATATAAACCTCCATGGTTTTTCCCAAATGTTCTTAAAACATCTTGGTCACTAGCCTCAGATACGTGGCCCCAACATTCTTTAGACCGAATGGCATAACTTTATAACAGTAAGTCCCCCTGTCTGTAATAAAGGAAGTTTTTTCCTCATCTGGAGGATCCATCTTTATCTGGTTATATCCTGAATAGGCATCTAAAAAATTTAATAGGTCATGTCCTGCAGTAGCATCAATTAGTTGATCTATGTGTGGTAATAGAATAGAATCTTTAGGGCAAGCTTTATTTAAATCAGTATAGTCCACACAAACTCGCCACTTACCATTCTTTTTGGGCACTACTACAGTAGTGGCTAACCAATCAGGATACTTTACCTCGCGGATAGATCCGATTTTTAAGAGCTTTTGTACTTCATCTTGAATCACCTGATTCTTGAAGGACCCTTGCTTC